ATAGATAGATAGATAGATAGAATGATGGATAGATGGATAGATGGAATGATGGAATGATGGATAGATGGAAAGATAGATTAGATAGATAGATAGATAAACAGAATGTAGGTGCGCATCAGAAGCTGCTTGTGCATGCGCGTGCGTGCCTTCACTATGAGTGCACATGTGATTGTATATGCACGCGAACATAGCTCTGCGCCCTGTTCCTAGGGCGGATGCTTGGACGCTAGGCATAGCCGGCGAGGCCGGACAGGTGACAGTCGCTTTATCACAGGCCGGGTATGTGATAGGGATGACGGGAGAAAGGACTCTTGCAAAGCGTGCATCCTGACTACACGGACCAATTGTCGGAAAAGTTGGATGCGTGGCATCCCACAACGCCTAAACGGGGAGCACCAGGGACAGGGATGCACCAGGAACGACAGAAGATTGGCGCCCTCACGGATCCGAGAAAACTTCAGAAGAAGACGCCAGATGGGCAGGGAAGGAACGTGAGATCTGTATGTGGGAGCCAATTTTGCTGTTACGACAGAGCTAAAATGGACAGCGCCTAACGAAGGCTTGATGCATGGCAGGGGGTGGCGCTTGATGCATGGCAGGGGTGGCTGCAAGAGCGCTAGCGGCTCAATGTGTTGCAGGGACAGATGCAGAGACCGGAATGCTACAGCAGCGGAAACAGGAGGAGTGCCAAAAGCAGTAATTGTGGGGAGACAGTTCTAGTATGATATACTGCCTACAGTAGCACGAACGGAAAGCCTGCCGGCAGCAAGCGGCAAAAAGACGACAGACAGGTAGGGTTCAAAACTACACTGCACCGCAAAACTGGCCCGCTCTCAATGTGTGAATCCGACCATAAATTACTCTCAAGACAAAACCTCCTGCTCTGAGGCCAAAACATCCAGTGTCTGAATGGTGCCAATCTCAGTCCACATCGTGTACACGTTCCTGCTGGACAGGATTTGAGCAACCTTTGTCCGTTTTGATCCTTCGGACTGGCAGGTGAGGGCACCTCGGCCCGGACATCCCAACATTGTCGAAGATCATTGCATTGGGTGTCAGTTCGTCGTCCTCTCGCTACCCGCCCGAAGAGTGAAGCTGCGACATTGCAACCTTCAATCCGGGCCTCGGCGAAGCAGTATATGTAGGGGTAGTCCGTCTCTTCAGTGAGACCACTGACGATGATGTCGACATCTCGGTTGTACTTCCAAGTTGTGGCCTCCAAACGCAGGAGTAGCAAGCGGATCTTGTCACACCCTGAAGTTCCCTGAAGTGGCCCATGGCCATCAAGCCTGTCTGACGGACCGTGTGCTGCAAAAACTATGCCTTGATCTCCCTGGCGGCCTCGTACTCAGCACGTGTGGTGACACCGTCTGCCGCATTGATCACATCGACAATGTCATCCTTAATGGCTTGGCTTCAGGTGACCTGACAGCCTAGCTGCAGGGAAAATGCTGTCGTAGTTCACAGTGTCACGGGGTTTGCACATAGTTGTGCATGCTGCAACACTTTGAGCCAAGCAATCTTTGAGCCAAGCAATACTGTAGATGCTCCCAGACCTAGATCTGCAAAATAGCGGGTAAGTAGTTCATGGTACACCGGCGCCAGTGCCGCCAAAGCATCCATGTCGTAGATCCAGAAGGTCCCACATTGATTACCGAAGCTGTCTGTGCCTTGGCTGCACCGGACACTCGAAGACAATTCGCAAGCAACGCTCCAATGGATCGGAGCTGGGAGACTTACAGATTCTTACAGAGACTCAAGTCCAGCCGCAATCCGAAGCCCTCGCCTTGATCTTCGTTTCGTAGTCCTGCAGCGACGGAGACAGGAAAAATGCCCTTCAACTTGCTGAAAAAATCCTTGCACGTCTCAAGGAGCACTCTCTCCTGGCCCGCAGCCACCAAAGCCGGATCCGTGTCCCAGGCCGCACACCACACTTTGGCACCTTCGTCCACCTGACACGGGCACTACCTTTGGTTGCGCACACCTCGAGATCTTCGGACTCCACATCCACACGCCTGCAGCGTGATGATGATCTGGTCGTGTGCGATGGACTCTGCTGCAATGAACCTGGTGGCCGGGAAGCAAGCAAACAGGGAGCTGTGATGCTAAAGCAAGACACGCTGGCATACTGGCTGATGACATCAAGCGAGTAGTTGGGGCCATATGAGGGCATGCCCTTTGCACAGCATCCAATGACTGTATCGAGAAGGACAATTGCAAATCTGCTCTCTGCTTGTCGAAGCCTCATCTGCGGAGGTGTGAGGTCCAGCGTGCGGACCTTGAGCTCTACAGCTGATGTGCCTGAGACGAGACGAAGCTGCAGCTGTCCAAGCTCGGCAGAGGACTCAGGCGCTCCCTAAAGCGCTCCCTCGCCAGGTCAAGCTACTCACGTAGTTGAAGGACACGCCATTCGTCACTTTGCAGCCGTTACAGAGGTCATCGTCGGCATAGCAGTAGATGTCATAGTAGGTGCCGAGCCTAAGCACAGCACACGCAAAGAGTTCGGTGAGTTGGAGGTTCTGCCAAAGTCATGGCTCTGAGGTGCGAACTGCAGCGGGGTCATGTAGGTGGGGTCCCAGTTCCTGGGCAGTGTTGTAGCGTCCCACCCCGGCTAAGCCCGAGGATCTCACAACGCTCCGCACCTTGGGCGGTCGTAGCCCAATATCTCGACATCTATCGGCACTGTAGTAGGGCCTGGGATGTATCGACTCAAGAGGGCACGACAAGGTGCTTTTGGTGGCTCGTGGGGCTCCTCGCTAGAAACCTCCGCTGCGACGGGCGGCTCACATGGACATACTCCGAAGTGAAGTTGCTGTCCAAGATCTCCAGGATGGTCGGCACCTGTTTCTCGATGTATGGGCGGCGCTGGCTTGTCGAAAGCACTACACGAGCCCGGTCTGGGGCCACTGCATTGAAGCCGTGCCGGACCGCCTGGCCACTGCAAGCTCTTATTTAGATAGATTCTGTTCTTTCGATCGCCGGGTCAAGCTCTGCAATCAGCTAGCGACAAACCTTTGAAAAGCCGGCCAGTGTCCCACCTGGCACCAGGCCGTCCCTGTCTCGCTCAGCTCTAAGTTCACCGTGATCGTCGTCTCCGTCGTCGACACCTGCATAGCCGGATGGGCAAACATGTATGAGAGCCCGAAATCTCGGCCCTGGCAGATTCCAACATTTCCAGCCCAGCGGCGCTGTTAATCTGGATTGTCGGCGGCGTCAGGTCAAGCGTGATGACCTCACCAACCTTGCGTCAGGCTTGACTTCAGCCATCACTCCAAGACTGGATTCGGTAGTCGCGACCAAGCCTTGGAAACCTTTCGGGCAATGAAAGAACTATATTCCCTGTCCAAGCTGCTGCAGAAGAGAAATCCAGTACATCCTGGTAGACCACCTCAGCAGCCGACGCCCAAGAGCATCAAGGCCCAAGCATGAGCTCTTTAGCTGTTTTCATAAGAAAAGGCCATCACAGGCAACTTAGCAACTGTAGCACTACATCACTACATCGTCGCATGACCTTCCTCCAATTCGAGGAAGCAGCCTCGTTTGGTGCGCCCACGTTGCCAGACTGGAAGTTGATGGACTGCTGTGCCGCCCCAGTCGCCTGGTAGGTCTCACACCAGACACTCCGGGCTTCAGGAGATTCGGGCTCTGGATCCTGGGGGTTGGATATCCGGGTTGAAGCCTGAAGATTCGCCCTTCCGCCGCCGTTGCAGGCCATAGGTTTAGAACGAGCTTGAGGAGTGGAGGATTTGCACTTGCACTGTTCTCGACCACCTGTCTTCCACAGCACATGGCTTATGACCTTTGAACCACGCAGACCATAACTCCACGTACTGCGGACCTCAAGCCTCACAGTGGCGGCCTCGAAATCCCAGTCGTCGGAAGCGAAGCAGAAGATGTTGTAGGGCGATTCGGCAGCCAGATATGCCGCCTTGATATGATACGGACGATTGCAGTGTTTCAGGCTAAACAGCGCGTATGGCTGTCTCTAGGGATTTGCTGTGCACAGCCATGTGTATTTAGCCACCATGTTTCGCGGGGCCAAGACATGCACAGATCTACAACCAGGAAGGCAGTGCCACTAGATTGTAAGACAGCATCGCATAATAGCCAAACGGCAAAAGTGCCAACTGATTGACAAGGGGACACAACTATCGGCCACACCAGAAGTCAGAAGCCCCATCCGTTCTGTGATCCGAGGGGCTCCCGCAGCGTCATCCCTGGGCACTGTGGCAGACGGCTTGTTTCTTATGGCTACATTCTTGAGGGCATAGTATGCAGATGCAGAACCAACATGTCACAATGTGAGCACGACCGTTTCCAAGCTCTGGTGCAGTGTCGCGCCTGACAACTCTGTCGACCTCCACATCGATGTTGGTGTAAGCTGTCGGCACATACTGGAGGAATGATACAGGGCTGCTGGCTCCTGTGATCTTGTCCTGTCAACAGTTTTGCTTGGTTTGTCCGTGTGAGGTCCCCTGATGGACTCGGCCAGGGATCCTGGATGACCCTGCAGATAACTCCCCAAACTTATCTCTTTCGAAAGTCCTTGAAGTTTCCGCTGGCGATGTCTGCAGTGTCCACATATGTACCATCGACTGCTGGTAGAGTCGGCATGCACCAAACTGTGCCTGATTGCTGGCAGCATGTCACATGAAGACTTAAAGCGTGCCACCATGCATCACCATGCGATGCAACTTGTGGGACGTCAAATCTTTATTATTCAGGCCATGGTTGAAAACTCAAGTGCTGCAGAAATAACTGTCAAAAGCGACTGCCTCCGCCTGCTGAAGGCATACAGGCACCGTGATACGTCTGGGCGGATCAATGTCATCCTGCTACTATGAATCTTGCGCCTGGCTCGTTGAGTTGAAGGGTAATTTGGATCGTGTCCTCGGAGAGCGCCTCCGAGGAGACGTAGATCCTTAACGGTCCGACGACGAGATCCCGGGCTCTTATCTGCTCCGAATAACCGAGCAAAAAGAAGTCTGTCAGCCTGCCAAGCCCGAGCTGCATGGAGGGTGGCGTCTTGTCCTTCACCCAGACGTACTGCGTCTTGCCCCCACTGGGCGAGGTCAGCGCATGGGCCAGGGTCGTGCCCACCGGCGTATTCACGTAGGTCTCGCAGAGGGCAAGCAGAATACGTCGCACGAACCAAGGTCCCGTTTAGCCCTTCTCGGCCTGTGTCATGTAATTCGGCCTTGGCAGACCCTGCGTATTCACCGCCGAGTCCATGGCCCAACAGTACACGTCGTACTGCGAAGCCTCCCAGAGCACTAACGACATGACGACATGTATTCTGTATTCACAACTCGTAACCCTGCTTGAGTTCTTCTGACTTGGCTTTCGGATCACGACTTTAGCTGGGGCTGTGAGACACTCGCAGGCACGCGTGGCGTTTCAGTGGCAACGAGCTGCGATCTAATCTCCGTGGTTTCTCGCTCAGTGATGCCTCGTAGAGAGTCTGCGTGTCTGACGACTCCAGCTTGTCGATGGTGATCGTACCCTCAGGACTTGCAAGCGGCATGAGCATGATCCCATGCACTTCATCTTCTTTGATAAAAGCTCTTCTAGTTGCTATCTAAAGCTCGACGATGGCGCCAGCGCCCACGCTCTGGTAGTAGTTGGCAGACAAGATCCGGTTGATCCTGGAGGCTTGCCATTTCGGGATTGCTTTCGAGGCTTCACGCTGAGGCTCTTCAGTCCACCCGAAGCTTTCCGGCTGAGTGCTGCGCTGAAGGTCGGTCTCACCAGAATCGCTCCGTGTCGTTCGGCAGTAGGCGGTTCCGGCCTAAACATGACAGGGTTGCAGAGGTGCGCCACTCACCACGATGTTCCGCCAAGGAAGGTGCCTCGTTGAGAGAGAATGTGACCACGAGTTTGTCGTTGTCGTCCGTGGGGTCCTGTGGATGATCTTTGTGTAGGCCGGCAACCAGATTTGAGATTCTGAACACCTTTCTAACTTCCCGCCCTGGAGTGTAACAATGCAGTCAGCGTTAACGAGGGAGCAGGAGGCTGCGGAGCGAGGTGCGGGTGGAGGCGGGAGAGGTCGTTGTTCATTCTTAGGAACGATTTCGAACCAAAGCAGGGAGGGGGTCATCACAACAAGGCTTTCGCTATCCATAGTCAAGCAAACCCGGTTTTGAGTGATCCCAGCCTTTGCCCTTCACCTGACGGGCCGAGGCATTCAGCTGTTCTAGCACAGCCCTGATCCCAAGTCGAGTTGGCATCGTAGATCATCGTAGAGAAAGCGCTCTGGCAGGGATATTTCATCCTGGTTGCCTTGATGGAGAGCTGCGTGAACTCCGGCGGTGTCTCGTCCAGGGTCCTTGTGTCCGGAGACTCCAACGCAAAATCACATCATAGTCTTCCCAGCAGCTGCAACGCCGCCTCTCATCTATGTCACGACATTGCAGCTACCATAACAATGAAGAATCGAATTCGCTGTATGTTTAGGGATACCTGCTATGGCGCAGGCCACAGTGTCACAGGTTCAGCTGCAGACATGTCGTTACTGGAGGATTGGTGGAAGCTCCGGCTGTTGGCAGCATGTGGATGCGCCGAGTTTCTGAACAGTGCCGGTGCCGGCCCAGATGGTGTGGACGTTGTCGGGCCCGGCAGTGCCCTTGGTCAAGCGGAAACTACAAAGACATGATGCAGCAGATTATACTTCCAAGGCCGCGCATCGCATCTTTAGGCTAGTCATGCACAGTCTTGCTGTTGTTAATGAATTCCTGTGGACAGCTAGGTGGTGCTGCATGCTCTGGTGTCATCACTTCACTGCACCGGCTGCGACACGTCAAGTCCCTTCTGTCCAAACCTGCGACACAGATCTGGAGCTTCAACTCATAAAACGAAGTCAAGTTTTCTCAACGCCCGATTACTTCCCCAGTGCACCCCACATCTGAGGCCTGCTGACAGCGGTTTGCACTGCATTGATTTCGTGCAAGGGGCGACATCGTCCCACCTCATCACGTTCGGGCTGCTGCCAGGCCCGCTGCTCCCTCCATCCGTCTCATCCTCGGCAGAGAAACAGCCAGGCAAGGGGCAGTGTCCAGCTGCAGTAGCAATCGATTCCCAAGCCGCAGGCATCTTCAGCGTAGCAGTAGATGTATGGATAGTCAGTCTCTTCAGTGAGGCCGCTCACAATAATGTCGAAGTCCTGGCGGCTTTTCACGCATGACAAGACAGTCGAGACAGAACGGCCTTGGCACAACGTCATGCAAGCAAAGCCGAAGAAAGCAAAACTCGGGGACAAAGAGGCGAGAGTCATGGAAACACCACGGTCGGAGTCTGGAGCCCAAGAGTAGGAAAAAATGGAGCGGAAGTAGGAAGATGCTCGGCACGTAGATTTACATGATGGTTCATGATGGTGTGCCGATGTTCACCTGAATTCGAAACGAGACGACTCATGGCTGCTGACTTGCGTTTGTGCGCGAAAGAATTCGACAGCAGCCGTGGAGAGATCTTGATTCAGGAACAGAGGAGCTCTGAACAAGCCAAGAGTGCCTGGTTGAATCTCCAATTGTCCAGGCTCTCGTACTCGGCTTGGGTCGAGACACCGTCAGCTGCCGTGTCTTCGAGGTCGTCGAGATCCTGGGAGGGTCCGGCGACATGGTCCGTGAGCGGCTGATATGATTCATCCGCACGGCTTTGAACCCAATCCCACCGAAATATGTGCAGAGGCAGGGTGCATAAATCCAGAAGGTGCCACACTGGCGGCCTGCAGCTTGCACTGAACGTGACAGGCTCTTACTGAGCACACACAGCACCGACAAACGACTCCACCACTCGTCAAATGCTGAATCCCTATCCCAAGCAAAACCCAGTGATCATGCCTTTGCTGTCGTGGCAAGTGCTCTGCTGGCCCTTGATCATGGCAACGTAGTTTGCCGACGTCAGACCTGGCAAAACCCAGTGCTGAAGCAGCACCACCGATTACAGTACCATCTGCACCTATTCAAAATCCAGAGGGAGCCATCCCGCCCCTCCCCGAAGTTCGTGATGATGTCGAACTTCGCTCAACGTTGAATGCTGCTGGGCTCTCGCCACCTGGATCGCTCGCCCACGCTGCGCACCACACCTGGGCCCACAAAGAGATGTGGATGTATATCGTGGCAAGGGGAGAAAGAGAGAAAAAGGGCAAAACAACAAGCAGGCAGAGAGAGAGAGAGAGAGAGAGAGAGAGAGAGAGCGAGCGAGAGAGCAAGAGCGAGTGAGAGCGAGGGCGAGTGCGAGGGCGAGAGCGAAAGCGAAGCAAGGAAGGAAGGACGAAGGGAAGAAATAATGAGGAAAGAACGAAGGAAGGCAGAGAGAGACCGAGGGAGCACGAGTTTGCAAATCCGTTCAACTTGACTTCATGGCATCGCGATTGGTTGCATCTGTTGATTGTTAACTTCTCCGTGCCATTCACTGGAGTTTCTGTCTTCGTGCCGCTGTTGCATAATAATGCCGTACATCCTCGCCCGACGGATGCCAAACCCATCACTAAGGCAAAAGCCAGACAGTCAGAGAAAGAGCGAAGTCGCTTTCGGCCCCTCAGAAATTCTGCCGTGGCCTAAAACCTGAATTAGGTGCAAATCAAGATTGGGAAATGTAGTACTTTCCTGTGATGATGCCTCCTGCGTAGCAGAAGTCGCAATCCCGGTTCCTTCAAGTCATTTCGCGACTGCACTAGAAACGCGTTTTGCACCAAGGCCGACACCATCGCTCCCTCGTCCACCTCGCTTCACAGAACCGTGCTTCTGACGGTAGCCCAAGAAACCCTTCCTCTGCATCCCCTTGACGAGAGCCTGAAGCGTGATGATGATCTGGCTTGCAGAGATGGACTCGGCCATGATGAACCGCATGTTCGGGCGAGTGAGGTCCAACGTGGTCACAAAGTTGTCGGGGCACGCCTGCGACCGCTCTGGACAGTTGCTCCAATGTTTTCAGGCGCAATCACTTGTTACGGTGTGCCTCGGCTGCAGCCATTCCGTTGGGCCCATAGTACGGGTAGCCCTCCGCATCCTGATATTTGAGTTTCCACACGGGGCACTTGCACTGCAAGACTTAATTCTTTCGAGATTGTCCCCCCACCCCCCAGCCCCACACTCTCAACAGGCGACCTGCGCCCAGCAGTAGACGTCGTAGTCCCACTTGCGGTTTAGGGGCTCGAGGCCTTGGGAAGCAGGGATGTGACCACACTTTGCGAAAGCACTGATTCACACACACACACACAGAGACACAAACACACACACACACAGAGAGCTTGCAAATCCACCGAATATGCGGGCATGCGTAAGCCGAGTCAAATGCCAGTCGCCCCCAGTCCCGTCGTGATCTGGTTCACAATGATCGTGAAAGGTGAAGTCGTCGAGACGTCCATGTAGAAGCCTTCATGCTGTCCACCGCAGGCTGGAAGTATGCAACATGGTCTTCGCATCCGGCCTTCAGCGATGACGGCATTTGGAGTGGGTGGGTCGAAGCCTTTGTTGACGACCTGACGAAACATTCAATCACCTTGAGCTGTGACTCATATCATGATGTGCTTCAAGCCGGAAGCCTGCCTTGCAGTACGCCCGTCCGGCTTCGTTCATACTGAGGGTAACAGTGATGCTGTCCTGGCTCCGAGGCATCTTGTTCGGCAACTACTGTACAAGAGCGGCTAAAGTGGAATCGCTGCAAGAGGAATCCTCCGTAGCAGGCGTTTCAGCGCAGGCGAACGTGCCAAAACTCGGAGGGGTGGTGTCCAGTGTCCTGACCTCGGATACAGATTCGACAACAGCTGGCAAGCAGTCTTCGAGCAAAGGCCATGCTATGACTCGCAGCTGTGCTTCACAGCTCAGCTCGCTGCGCTCCGCTCTGTTGCCAACATCTGCGACGAGGTGACCACATTGTTCGTTGGGATCTCATCGTCGTGCGAGTAGCAGTACACCTGCTAGCACGCCATAGCCGTTGGCAGAGCACCAGTGACTTAAGTTGGGAACTCTGGACTCTTGTTCTGAACACGAATGTCCAAGCGCACGGCCCAGTAGAAGGTCTTGGCCACAAGTCCCGTGATGTCCACCTCCACAGGTGGACACGGCTACTATTGTTTTCCAACCCTGACACGGTGGCTCCGTCGAGCTTGTCTGCGCAGGCAGACTGAGTCAAATCAATAAGATTGCCTCATGCTCTGCGAAGCCCTTGACGGTGTCGTAGGTGGAGCCACCAACGAAGTTAGTTCCTGGCTAATAAGTAGAACAGACATCGCACCCGTTCGCATCTCTTTCACGGGAAGGCATCGAAGACGGCTTTCGGGCTGGCTCGTGCATTGGAAGGATGATCCAATGAGCACTTGATGAACACATATGTGTTGCTCCCAGCTAAAGGGATGGCATAGCTTCAGAGAGGACTCCGGGTCCTGAGCCGGTATTTATTTCGTAGGTGCAGGCCGCGCAGTCGGTGAGGGTCGGGACATCCGTGCCAGCCTGAACAGCTGGACGGGAACAGCTCCAAGCATGCAAGGCTAGAAAGCGTACAAGGACATGCAGGCATGCGAACGCGTCCTGGGAAACAGGAGTGAAGACACCACTGTCATAGGCACGACAGTACCTGAGTGGTGCACACTCGCGACACCTCTCCCTCTCCGATCCCTCGCACGGCCGCCGAGGACTTCACGTCGTGCCCGACTCGTCGAGGCGGATGGTTACCCGGATGACGTTCTCGGTGATGCCGTACCTGGCGCGCTTCAGCCAGAGACAAGGCCGAGGGCTTCTCCGCCGACTGCGCTGTGCGCAAGGAGGCGCGAGCCAACAAAGCTGGAGCGGCATGCTGACGACCGTGATCTGCGGCGGGGTCAAGTCCTCAGCGCAAGACATTAAGGCAGGTTCTTTGGGGAAGAGAAATCCCCTCCATGGTTCGGCAAGTGAGCTGGCCAGGTCATGTCCAAAAAAATGACGTGCTCAGCGCTCCGCAACGCCCAGGCTGGATTCAACCAAACTCCGAACCACAAGGCCCCGGCTGCAGGCTTCAGGGTGAAGCGATAGTCAGACCTTGGTTACTTGTAGACACGCGAAAGAACCATCAGTGGCGATGACTTGCATGGGCCGTATAGTCTCCGTATAGGTGAGGACGAGCTAACCAAAGCGCAAAAGCTTGATGCGGACCACCAACTTGCAGTTCTCCGGCGACCCGTGAAGATCAACCCAGTTCCAGACTTCAGAGTTCGTCCCTCCACAGCCAACGAAGGGGGCATGCCTTTTTTCGAAAGCATCTCGGCAATTCGAGTGGATCAAACTGCGGCGTGAGAGCTTGGCTAAAGCTCTTTGCGAAGAAGCCAGACGTTCATGCGCAAACCGCTCAGACTGATAGTTTGGCCATTCAGGCACTCTGCGATTCAGAATTTTGTGAGTCTCTGCACTCGGTATCCAAGGAACCTCGGGTCTCCTTCCTTTCTTGTTCTAGACCACACCCCCTTTCAGACATCTTCGCCTAGGTCCTAAGTTTCTAGTGACGCGAGTGTTGTACGCTGAAGCACCGGCCATCATCTTCAAGCTGAAGCCCTTCTTGTGCTGCATAAGTGCAATCCACAACCCGGTAGCTGACACTCTGTTTGATGTATATGCCATTGTATCTTGACAGTCTTCCCTTCTTTGATAGGAGCAGCTTGCTCGCCTGCTGCCCTCGGGATGTTCGGGATGCTCTGGGCTGCCAAGTGGAGCTGCTCGTCACGACTGCATGCTTGACATCCCATTTCAGTATGGCAATTCGGGGGTCCAGCATTTTGTATTCTTTTGCGGCCCTATGATCCTCCCAGTTGGACGCCTAAAGACGATCAAAAGGAACCACTTGGCATCCCTCGCGTCTCTCATAGCGCCGAGGCCACCCCGGCCTCCGACATCAGGATTCAGCTGAAGGCTGAAGATGGCTGAAAGGCACCGCCATGGAATTGCAGAGCATGTGCTGATACTCTTCATGTCCAGGTGTTGGGTATCAGGAGCTTCACTGCTGGCGCCCCCCGTTGCTTGGCACTTAAGCTGCTCATCGTGTGCACACACACCCACCCAGCACCCGCAAATGTGCCTCACTGAGTCTAGTCGGCGCCAAGAGAGCTATGGCTGTTGTTTCCTGGCGCAAGCTGCACTCGCAAACCAGATCCCAGGTCTTCTTAGGAACAGTTGCTGTGCTGCAGCAAAAAGGCCTGCGACTGACCGAGTCATGAGCGCTCAAGCACCTGCCACGATCTCGGACTGTCTTCCCCTTGTGGAACCAACTCCGGACATGAGGCCTTTGCCCTCCGACTCGGGCATGGGCAGCGGAGCTCCCCAACGAGTCCTTGAAGCGACAGTCTCACTCCATGCACATCGCCACAGCGTCTGATTCTGCAAGGAGAATCGGATTCACTTCGATGGATGCAAGAGCGGGTCCTGAACTCCTTGCTGCGCTTGGAGTTGGACGGGTAGGGATAGGCGCGGCCGGCGAAGCGCCTTCCAGACAACTCTGTCTCATCGCAGCTGAAGCCCTTGAGAGTGAAAGATCCCTGCCTGCTCGAGAGGTTCAAATTCCTCGGCGAGACCAGCGCGAAGATGTCCTTGGCGTAGCGCTTCCTCTCCTGGCAGTTTGTGCAGAGCTAACGTGGCTTCAAAATCTAGAATGACTCCGGCGATTTGAAACAAGTTGGAATCGAGAAGACTCAGCAGAGACTTCTCTGAGATGCTGTAGAAGACGAGGCGCAGAAGCGGTGGCCCTGGCTGCGCTCTTGATGTTGTTGCCTCGGCGGGCTGCCAGATGAACCCGAGCAGATGGCAGATGCGTCCCACCACTTCCTCTGACTGGCAAGGGAAGGAAAAGCAGCACCGTCCCCGACGAAGCCATGCTTTTCCTTCTCTATCGTACCCGTAGCTTTGTGTTTGCTGACCAGCCACTTTCCTGTGTGACCTGCAGATTTCCGACCGTAGCCTTCCTTGGCTCCACATGTTTTTGGTCAGGCAACATTCGGCGCTCCTGACTATCTATGAAGTCCAGAACCCACACTGAAGGGCAGAGGAAGTGTCTCCATCCGGATATCTACTGCCATCAGCAACTTCGCGAGGGAGTTGCGATCCTCGCAGCCGGGTCTGAGGCTTGGGATTTCTGGGGGGACGTGGAAGGACGTACGAGCAGTCCCACACTGACAGGAAACACAACTTCAACGTCCCCAACACTGGGTAGATTTACAGAAACTGCAGTCCTCAATCTGCGAGGGGTTCAACACCTCGGCGTGGCATGGGAGAAAGGGACATAGTGACATGGTCATGTGCATGCTTCAGCTGCCACATCATGCAACTGCAGCTGGGCGGCCCAAGTCGTGGATCCATCAGCAAGCTTTTCCGTGACAATCACATTGGATGTAGTCTCCAGGACGACGTAGAAGTGGCAGAGGTGCAGCTGCTTCTCGCACTCCTGGCAGACGTGATCGGACGTTTTCTCCTAAACCTTCCTGGTGGTTCCCATCGCCGGAGGGCTCAAGCAACCAAATCAGGCTCCGAACTTACGTCTCTGAGACCCATGTCATGGGCTCCCGGTGCTCGCCATCGATGGCTTCGACATAGAGGCGGCCTGCCGGAGTCTGCTCCCAAGCCCAAGACACCACGCTGGGGGGGCGCCTTTCACGAACTTCTCGTCCGGTGAGACTTTTTGCAGCCTGCCTCCGGAAACGAGATCGCTCAGGAATGAGAGCTTCCAAAAAAGCAATGCAAGGCCAAGCAAGAGCACCTCGGGCACCCTCCAAGCAAGGCGGCCTGCAAGCTGCTTTTGGCTTTTAAGAAGCTGAGGGATCCGTGGGGGGTTGCTCTCTCATCTCTCTTTGGGTTCAGGCCTTCAGCTGAGTGTATACGAGTCCTCACCGCATGATACAATGGCTCTGCAAGGGCGCCTCAGGGAGAACACGGAGAGCACTTCCTGAGTGCTGGCCTCCCAAATGCGCTTTTGCCAGGCTCCCCACTGCTCCAATTATTCAGAAAATTTACTGAGCAGTGATGGATCACGGTAGGCAGGATGTCCAAAACTTCTCGCGCAGTGTCGTGCATCATAGGTTGGGCAACGCCAAAATTCGACCCTCGCCACATACCTGGCCTGTGCTGCTTGCGTGGTACGCACCTCCAAGCGGCCAATCCTTGGGAATGCCACGAGCGTATGAGACTTTGAAGGCTTCACCTTAAGATTATTGTGTCTTTGAGTTCTTCATGGTGGGTGGGACCTCGCAAACCAGTCATTGTGAGGCACTTTGGCGTGGTTGCCGGTCAAGCCACTTATAGATACGGAAGATGGTTCCATCCTCACCGAACAGAACCAGCACAACGAGCCGGTCTACGAATGGTCAAAGAGCGAGACAGGAGAGCTGCAGCTTGAAGCCGTGAAGAGGGCATGCTGCATTCTGTGCACTCTGTCAACCCGTCCTCGGTGGTCTGCGCAAACTCCGGCGCGGCAGTGGGCAAGATATCCTCGAGCAAGGTGCGCGTGAAGATCTCGTCCACCTGACCACGGGCGAGATCCATGGCAAAGGAGTTTCGTTGTATCCCGGCTGCTTAGCGTTCACTCAGCAGTCTGAGCAGGCCACAACAGAAGCTTCAAGCAACCCAAAGCATTAGGACCTCACTCCGAAGCTGTGTACTCCCAAACAGCCAAAAGCGAAACCCCCATGGCCTTCAAAGTGGTAAGGCCTGGTCTGGCAACCACCTGTGCTTTCCCTCCTCAGCGATTCAAGCTCCAGTAGCTGAGAACAACACACAGGGAGAACCAGAACAAAATAACGGCAGAAACACACCGAACGAAAGCACACCATGACATGTTCGACGGAGGTTTTGGATAACCCCAAATCCTCGGCAGCAAAAAATGGCCAAACCAGTCCCGCGAAACGACACAACTCGTCCGAGGCACCCTGAAAGCAGCACTGTACGTTCCCTGAAATCCAACGAAAACCTCTGTGCTTTGGGCCTACTCGGGTTTCTATCTCACGTAACGGGCCTACCAGGGCATCGCTCCTTCCCGGAGGATTTGGAAACGCGAGGTCCACGACCTGGGGAACTCGGCGCCAGCCATTCCTTGGCTGGCTTGGAAGCTGGGTCGTCTGTGATCGCACCGGCATTTCGGATCCACGCAGTCCATCCTTCGGACGAGACTCCAACTGTGAAGTTCTTGTCGCTGAAGCGCGCTTTCCTGAAGGTGTCGACCAGGGGTGACCAAGGTGCAAACCACAAGACATCAACAAGAAGTTCTTACATGATAAAGATCATTGAGAAGCTGAACTTGTGCATGCGTAGCCTTGGCCAACAGCATGTTCCACTCCTACGAAGCGAAAGCCACTGCAGACTGCAGTCCTCTGCTTTGTGAGGCTTTCCTCCTCCTCGATGCAGGACGTGTCAGCGCAATACCGACTTTGCTGCTGCTCGAATACTGGCACAAAGCCGGGTTAGCATGTCCTAGTTTGCTGCGAAGCGAAGTCCCTCTTAAAACCACCGCCTGGATGAGGTGGCGAAGCTTCTGCACGTAGTCCAGGTTGGGATCCTGCAAGGCTTCTAGCTCCAAGAGTAAAGCTATAAGAAGGAAGCACCACATGCAAGCCTGGCGACACGTCACAGAAACACTTCTTGCCAATCGATACTAGTTCGATGTGTACTGGTCATGTGCTCCCGGACACAAGAGATAAACTGAGGGACCCCTCAGAAGCTCTCTCATGTCGTTTCATGTCGTTTCTGCATGTGGAAAGGGACCGACGGACAGACCCGACGCTTGCCCGGAAGTACAAAGCTTCCCGTGCTGGAGCCGACAAACTTCGTCTGCGGCCGAGGCGCAGGAGGGATGAACGAGTCCCCCTCGGCAATCCTGAACAGGGAAACTCGGAAGAAACCGAGGACGCACACAGGGCAGCCATGACATCGGCCTGTCAGCCATCACGGGGTTGAAGACGCACTGGAGCAGCTTGGCATCCTCCGCCTTCAGGCTCTCATAGGAGTCCTGGCACTGGGGCAGGGACATCCTGAGCACCGACACCTGGAGAAAATCCCCCCTCCTCTTGGAGGTTCTTCAAGAACGCCTGCGCCCGGGGGGGCGGGTCGCGTTCCCGTGCGTGTGGATTCTGCAAGAAGCGCGATGTCACGGGGGCCTTCCCCAGAGTGACACGGCCCTCCATGGAGTCGAACTGTGCACCTCGGCCAAACGTCAGAATCCCAAAACAGCTCAAGCTTTGGGTTCCCCTCCACGATGCATCTGAAGCATGCACGATACACGCAGCTTGGAACAAGTTTCAGGAATCTGGGTGGCTCAGCCCTCGAAGGGGATTGTTTTCAAAAACCCTCTTTCATTGATGATGACCGGGAAGGCACGGGAAGGGGTCAGTAGTTCTGACACGAGAACACCAACATAGTGCTTGGGTGGTTGCAAGCTATCCTTTCTGGGCAACCCCGCTGCAGGCTGGCAGAGAGTTGGCGAAGCGCTCGGGGGCGGAGAGGTCGAACTTGTCCAGAGCGAGGTCCACACCTGCACAGATCACGGCTTGCTTTGCAGAGCGGTCGAGTCGTGTCAGGGAAGCGGAATCTTGAGACATGCTGGAGGCCTTGTGGCTGGTCACGCTGCGTGAGCTGGAAGCGCTGCGGCATGAACCTTCAGATCAAATCGGGCTCTTTCCGGCCCCGGACTGTGCGATTCGAGTTGCAGCCATGCGCTCCCTGAGCCCCTGGCATAGGCCGACCGGAAGGTCCGAGCTGCAGTCCTTTCTTTGCAGGCACGCTGTAGCGGCTTCTTTCGCTTCCACTCACCGCTCTGTCGAAGGTGCACGGGCCTGTGATGTCAAAGCGACCAGGCTGGGCCAAGGCAGCTCCTGGGGTCAAGCTTGAGGAGTAGCCTAATTGCAGCTCTCGGATCTTGCCTGAAGTTTCTGCACCTGGGGCACTGACCCGGCAGCGGTGCCCCTGGCATCACGCTGGGCAGCGCCGCACCCGGCAGGGCCGTGCGCTGCGCCAGCTGGAAGCGGTCCAGGCCTGAGGCGAAAGCAGCCGCGTCCCGTATGGCTACGGCTTCCCTCGAACCGAGGCCGCTGCCAAACTCAACCCCGCCGTAGATGGCGTGAAGGTTGCTCTGCAGGCCTCACTCTTCAATGCCCTTCCAAGACGCAGAACTGTGCACCTCTGAAACGGCTCTGAGTGTAAGGCCGGTCTGCATGTCCCGGATCTTGCCGCCTGGACCCGAGCATAACACAATCTGCCCTTGCTGCCCAAGCCGCTGAGTCTAGAGCCCTGGAGCTGGATTCGCGAGTTGCCCCTCATGTTCCAGAGCTGCGGAATCTCTGAGAAGGCCTGGACGCTCAGCTGACTCAAGTGCAAGGCTCCACTGTTGCAAGATTGTAGGCCCGGATGCACGGCTTTATCCTTGGGCAAACTCCTCAAAGAAGATACCTGCCTCTGGCGTGGCAGACTGGACCATGTCCTCGGCGAGATCGAACCTCGACACAGACCCGAATGCCGTTTCTGCGCAGGTCGGACCGCTCTGGGTCAGCCCTCCAGCCCTGAGGCTGAAACCACTCCCACATTAAAGCTAGCTGAGAGTCCCCCCTTTTCAAGCCAAAAACACAGCCAAGAAGCTTCCGACGCCCCTGAAAGCGAAAGCTCAAAGGCCCGGGCCAGCGTGCATCCAGGGAGATTTTGGAGTCCACAAGGAACTTCGCCATCACCGAGGCCTGGTCGAGAACGCCTTTTTTGCCTTTTACATTGAAGGACTGCCGTCTGAAGTTCGCGGAAGTCCAACAACACCAGCTTGCTCTGGAAGATGCGACGTCGAGGGCTCGAATCTGATCCAGTAGTAAGGTTCATGTACAAAGCATCAGATGGAGGTTTCAACCGTCGCCAACTACGAGTACCCGGACAGATTTTTTGACATGTCCCAGCTTCAATCGGACCCATGAAGTTCAGAACATGTTCGTGACTCTATGCTCGCACACCCCAGCTCGGATCTACAGAAACTCCGCTCTTTGCGTGATGCATGCCTGATGACTTCAGCAGTGGATCACAATGGAGAGTGTTGATATGTTGGCACCTATCAAACTGATGTCATATCTACCCAGCTGATGTGGCTGCTCGACATGTCACACAAGGAAAACGGCGTTCGTCCCGATGCGATTAAACTTGCCTCTGCATGATACTTAAAATCTTGCAGGTGCTGTCTGCTTGTGTGCTTGCTTCTTCATTTCGTGCGTTCAGTCTGTCGGTCGGTCGGTCTGTCGGTCGCTCGGTCGTAATATGTCGTAATGAGGTTTGCTCGTTCTTTCTTTCTGTCTTTATTTAAGCCGTTCTTTCATTCTGCATTCATTGCTGCTCTCTTCATCACGTTTGTTATTGAATATTTCACTATCGATGCGCAATTTATCATCTCGTTCGTTGGTTCTTCTTGTGTTCGTTGTACATGTGGTTCTTTCTTTTCTTCTTTGTTTATTATGTTTCTTTATTGCTTGATTTCGTTTTTTCTGTATTTCTTTGTTTCGCGGGCCACAGGGGAATGCATGCACCCTCCTCTTCGGCTGTCACAACAAGGGAGGTGCCCCTGAGCTGATGCGCCTCTACATGACAACTACCGCGAACTGGGAAAGCTCTCAAGCTGCTGTCTGACATCACGACGACACTGGTGGCTTTCCACTCGAAGGTAGCTTTTCATTGGTAGAGTGTGAGGTTTCGGGTTTCGCATACACAGGGCTTGTAAGTATATGCCTAGAAAAGTGAAGTTCGGTTTAGTAGTTTAGGGTTTAGGCTTCAGGCGATTTCACACCTCCCATTTCTTTGGCATAACACTTCCACTCTCGTTCCACTCCCTGTGGAACATTCTGTGTTTCACTTTTCACCACGTGAAATGGCGCCTTGGCCAGCTCGCGCAGGTGGAAGATCACGCTCCTAGGACGAGGCGACTCGCCGAAGTCTAGCGTTCGTCATTCGAAGCTTCAGGGCCGTCAGAGCCCAAGGAAGCAAAAGCTGATATATGACGAGCTTCTTTCGCTCGGCGATGAGGTCGAAGTGGCGCGTGAAGGCCTCCGCGAACCTTCAGCGAAACTCAAGGACCTGAAGTATCTACAATGCTCACCATTGCCTCACCACTTTGCCTCCCCATTTACATGGGGAACTCACACTTGAGGAGCAGTCCCCTCAACTTGAAGCACTCAAAACGCCCTGCGTGCCTGGTGAGGGGGTGGTGCTTGCTGGTGATCGGCTTGTCCTCCAAGCCCTTGCTGGTGACAACCTGGCCATGGGCCAAAGGTGCTGGGAGCGCCGAGCGCTTCCCGAGCCCCTGTGAAAGCGTCACCACTATGACGTATGGCAGTGGCGCCAATCTTCGTGGCAGGAAGAACTTGGGTGCACCCTGGGGTTGTCAAGTTGGCCTTTTGGGGAAACTAGTTTTCCAGATCCTGCGCCACCGTACACAGCCTCACCCTAGTACCCAAACTCGATGCGCAACCCTTGCCCTGACGAACTCGACCTCAAAGGAAATCACCTGAAACCAATATGCATAATATCAACTCTTAGCAGTCTTCACACTACACCCGAACACACCCGAATGGTTACAACGTAAATTCCTGTGTATTCCGAAGTGTTGCCTGCTCGCGTGCTTCGACGCCCATCTTCACGTAAGGTACCAGCGTTTTGTCCTGCGACGCTTGGGAGTTTCGGTCTGCATCCCATTGCCCTTCGAGAGAGTCTCGAGACTGGCTTGTACCTGGCACTGTCCTCGGCCAGGCGGATCTCCGCCTTCTTCACCACAAACCTCGGTTTTGCTCACAGACCTAACACAGGTAGAGTGTTTCAAAGGCCGCTATCAAAGCAGTGCTGGGCACGGGACCACTCTCGGCCGGCCCAGGTCTTGTTGGCATCGGTCATCTCCGACCAATCGAAGACGCTCCTCGTGGGGTCGTCGGGAGCGAGATCGGGACACAGTGCGCTCTTTCAGCTGCAGCCAGGTAACATCATCCCGACGATGGGCATCGTGTACTCGCCCAGCGCCAGTTCCTTCAGGAAGTAGTCCGCCTGCCAGCTTGCTTGGTGAAGCGTGTCGCAATAGGCTTTCGCATGTCTCGTGCACCTGGAACATGATGTCTCCGACACTGGTACCAGCCAACCAAGCTGGCTCATACCGCTTGCGCTGCGGGGTTGTCTCCTTGGGACAGTGGTGGCAATGAGAGACGGCATACGGCAGCAACTGTTTTTTCAGCAGCTCAGGTATCCCAACCCGGGATGCAGCATGCAGCGTGCTTGCAGGCTTCCGCTGTTGCCACAATGTCTCAATTCGGGTCTCAGAGCATCTATCCGAGCTGTGGCAAGACATAACCCTGACACAATTCTGTCTGCCGCGGAGCCAGCTTCTGTGGATCAACCTCGGGGCTTGAGCTGACTCATAGCTTTTCCTCGCTTCTTGGTGCGTGTGCCCAGTGCCAAAGATGCTTTGTGCCGGGTGGCAGGATCAAGTGAGAAGAGAGGCTCGCGGCAGGCCGTGCGGCGCACCTGGAAGCCCACATGTGCTGGGCGGTGCCACGACTTGCTCCGAGCAACTCAATCCCTTTCCCCCCGTCTCCTGCGAGCCAGTGTTGCTCGCACAGTATCTGTCTGCTACCATGCGAAGCAGATGCGTACCGCTACGATAACCCTTGCCCTATCCATTCCCAATCCGTAATCGGTAAGCCTTGAGAGCGAGCATCAGGTACTCCAAGTTCACAGCGGCAGCGGGCTCCAGGGTGGACGCGATGCGGACCTGTGCTCCGGCTGCAAGCTGAAGCAAGCAGCTAAATGTTACAACTCAAGCTAGTAACTGTAACAGACAAACCTCTTGAAGTGCCAAGCTGCACTTCGGGACGCCTCGTCATAAACAAGGCCTCCAAGGTGACTGCCGCTTGGGGGACATAGGGTGGGCAATCACCTTCTTTCAAGACTTCGTCTCTTCTTCACTAGGTTCAGCTTCAACTTTAGACCCTCGAAGTCCAAAACAGGAGAACGCACTCAAAGTTTGAGACGGGGAGCAACAGAGGCCCTTGGGCGTTGGGGAGCAGCCCAGCTTGGCCGCTACAGGGCCACAGGAAGGCACCTCGGAAGATGCCGCTATGGCACGGCGGTCTTGCGCAACAGAGTTTCAGAGAACTTCTTCTTTGGGGCATAGGATTTAGAAACCCGAAGCATTCCGAAGCCTTGGGATATCAAGGATGTAGGGCATAGGCATGGGGGTGCAAGGGCTTCTGGCATGTGGATACCACGGTTCATGGCCCCGCGATACTTTGAAGGGCTGCAAGCAAGTTTTCTGCAGAAGCTCTCGGATTCTGCACCTGCAGTCTGCGGAAGATGATCTTCGGGAAAGCTTCGCGAGTGTCAGGAAGGTGGCACAGAAACACAAGAGGAAGTCCGTTACAATCTCGTGAGTCCGGGCATGGGACCAAAGAAGCTTCAGGAACTCAGCCCGTCCTGGGTCCCGAACAGACTCAGGGCGCCAACCGATCTGGTACTCAAGGCGGCTGTCCAGCTTCTTCTGCCTGCAGGTTGGCTGTGGTGAGGGCTGCACTCTGTCACTTAGAATTCCAGAAGTTGCGCGACAATGTGAAACGCATCTGAGGTCACATTCACAAGACGGCTCTTCCAGCCGGTGTTGTGCCGCTGGCTCTGGTTGGGGAATGGATCTTCACAGCACTCTGTGGCCTCTGTTCCTCCGTGTTCTTCTCATCCTGCTTCTGCGCATCCTGTCAATCAGAAGGCATCCAGCTTCGGGCTGGTTTGCTCGTGAAGTGCCAGAGCGGACAGCTGCGCAGCTTTCGGGCCTCCAGCACGATCTGCGCCATGCATTCAGGATGCACCAGTTTGTAGGCCTGAAGAGCACCGAAGATTCACGGGCTTACCAGCAGAAGCAGCAGCAGCAGCAGCGGCGGCGGCGGCGACAACGACGGCAAGAACAACCAAGGCCACAAAAAGTAACAACATCAGCAGCACAATGGCAGCAGGAAGCCGAAGGTCAGAATTCCTTGGTTCACGATTCATTGCAGAATGCGTTGAACGTAGACGTCCTCTTTGTTGCATATGCCTCTGCTCAAAGACAAGGGCTCCCCATCCTGCCTTCTCCTCAGGCCTGTAGGCTGTCTCACCCATGGGCAGACCACACCTGAGTTTCTTTTGATACGAATTGAGAAGAGCCTCGCGCTCATGTTACCCCGAAAGAAGGCCTAAACCCTAGGCTACCCCCATGGCACTAGCTGGCCATCCAGGCGCTGGCTGCAGAGCTGCACCTCCTCACCGTCGGAATCCACTTCCTCTGGCTCTGAGGATTTAGGATCTACGTCCATGGAATGCCGACCACACGCGATTCAAGGGGCGTGGAAAAGAGAACACCCGTCTCCATAGCTCCCCTCAACAAAGATTCAAGACTGCCAAATCCACCCGGTCTTTTCCTAACGATCCCGGATTCTATGAATTCTAGTGCCTCCGGGTGGCAAACTCCTTCTTCGGACGCGGCTTCGTCGCCTCCTTCTCGGCCATGGCTCGCGTCAGGAATTCCTTCGGGGCCACCTCCGACAAGAGATCATACAGAGAATGTAGTGCCGTGGCTGCATAGCGATGCGAATGCCAAGGTCTACTGCACATGGCCTCTCCGCGTGCCTGTGGTGTGAACCATGGGAAAGCCTTCCTTGGCAGCACACATGATCTTAGAAAAGCCAGTGCCAAAGCCAAGACCCATCCACAAGAAACTATGCCCCTCGATCGATGCGGCAGCGAATGCAGAATTCTAGTCGCTCGGCTCAAACACGGGAAGGAACGGTACAGGACGCAAGTGCCATCCAAGCCACCTCTCATAGCCTGGCATGAGACGTAGGCAAGCTTCCATCAGGCGTTGCGAGTTACGCTTTCCGACTTGCTGACGTCCTGATTGTGGCCCCCGCCTTTGTAGCTTCCGTCGCGGTTCTCTGCAAACTTGGCTTCATAGAGCCGCAGAGCTTCCTGCGAAAACGACGGACTCAGCTGTGGCTGCTGCTTTCAGCTGAAGCTATGCCAGAATGTGCCAGCTATGCTGGCCGGTCCTTCTCTTCCTCGCTGGGCCCCTCCTCTTTGGACGGGAGCAGGCCTGAACACACCAAGCAGCAGAAACGCCCCGTTGAAAGCAGGAGCAAACTGGAGCCGCAAACTGGAGCCAGGCCTTCGCAGTCCGAACAGTTCGCCTCGGCAGCCGACATTTCCCAATTTCCCAATTTCTGTGGCGCTGTTTCCTTTTCGTGCTCTCTCATCCGCGAGTGCGAGTGCGGAGGGCGCCTCTGGCGTCGTCGCCCCACGGCTGTCGCTCTCGTGCTCACCCTCGCTGGTGGACTCGACAAGGTCGGCCTGCGAACTGGGGGCGCTGCCCACGACACAGCTCCAGATACCAAATCTAAGAAAACTGCGCCGCGCCCTTCACAAAACAGTCACAACAGATAGCGAATGTGCTTGAGCTTACCTTCGCTCAGTCTTTTGCCTTCCTTGGTTTTCCAGGGTATTTCGGGATCCTGAAGCCTGAAACCAAACGGCTTCATTGGAGCTGGGGCACAACCATCAAGCTCGAATGAAGGCTCTCTATTCCCCAAGGATGTTGTCTAGCGTGAAGATACACAACCTTTCTGCAGCAGAAAACACGTGCTTGCAGCAGAAACCGTGTGCTTCGGGAAAGAGCGACTAAGAGACATGCCCAAAATATCAGAAAGCGACTTCCCTGCTCCAATCTTATTTCTTACTGCTGACATATCTATGCTCGCTCTCGAAGAGATCTGAATCTGTCCCGGGCACTGAAACAGGAACCTGGGACATCTTGGGACCTGGGCCTCCTACGCTCCGGCTCTTCGGGGCCTTGACGGCTAAGAGCTCGGAGAAGCGGCCGCGGCGGCGGGACTCGGCAGAGGCCTGCAGACAGCGAGAAAGGGCCCGGAGGTTCCTGGTGCTTTTTCTCCCAGGAGCTTTGCGCGAAACACCAAGGCCTGAAAACACAGCTCCAGGAGCCTGGGAAACCTCTTTGACTCCATTACCCAAGGGAGCTGGTGACTTGCTAGTGGTGCTGGTCTCGCCACACGCACGACAACCCGGCTCCCAACCCGTTTTTTCTAAGACCGGGGCCAGGACTGTGTCGACAGCAGCCATAATTCCTGAGGCTCCGAAGGTAGAGCTCAACTCCACATTCACGCGACACTCCATTCTCACACCTTCTACCTCATTCTCGGTTCTGCTTCGATAGGCTTAGATTTGCTTAGACTCTCTTCAGTTGTCTGCAGCGTTCGCATCGGATTCTGTTGCAAACTCCAGTTCTTGTTCGTGGATAATCGGTCCTGTAGGATCTGCTGTTGTTTACATGCTCCAGTGCGATGTCGTCATGTTCCGCGATTGTGGGGAAACAGTCCGCTGCATCTTCGATTGATAAGAAATCCGGAACGATGGCCACCGAGCTTCCGTTTCTTTGCATTTCCGCGGCATGGTTTTCAAATTTAGCTCTCGCACTGTCCACACCTTTCTTGTGCTACCCTTCCCGCTTCATCCCCACCCCCAAACATACCATGGTGCAGCGCCGTGAATTAGAACTGGGTACACCTGACATCCTGGCCCAATATTTAAAATACGTCGACATAATCCCTAAACCGATCTTCCGATCTTCTAGACATCCAATGTCCAATGCATGCGAACCTGCAAGCCCAAGCCAAAATGCAGGACTTCTGCCAAGACTAACTAACGAGAAATTCAAAATCTTCGACCATCAAATCTTAAACCCTCCCACCCTAAACCCCGTTACTCCAAACTCTAATCCCTCCAACCCTTAGCCTCAGGCGTCTTTCGGGCCTGTGATTGTTGAACTCTGGCCGACCCCAAATGTTGCATCCGATCTGTTATTTTCACTAGTAACTTCTGCCTGCGCCCCCAACACCGTAAACCCCGAAACTTGTGATTCTTGCGGATGATGAAGCCACCTCAACCCCTTAGTAAGCATTAAACCCCGCCGACATCCTCATACAACCGTATCCCAGCACATCCAGTGTCGACGACAAAGACAGATGCTGCAATACGGCATGTGGAGGTATGCTATACCTGAGTCTGCCAATACATAGTCTTTGAATTGCTCGTGGGACTGCATGGTTTGCTCGGTGGTTCTGGGCCTCTTTCCTGTTGTAATGCTTGCCAGGTGTTGGTTTTGCGGCTCTTCGAGCTTGTTGAAAACAAAAAGCGGACAACCAGAAACAAACTAAGAAAACACTCGAGAAAACACAAAACCTGAAATTCAACAGCACGTTGAGGTCTCAGTTTCTTGCATTCCGAAAAACAACATATAAGTCTGGTGTCAGTCTCGCTTCGCCCTTTTCATGTATTCCGTGATTTGACAGAACCAGATGTATTGCAACAAGCGAAGTAGACACACGGCTGTGAAGCCCGATAACCAGATATGCCGTGTTCTGGAGGTCAGGTCGAATAGCGCGAAGTCTAGGTCTTCCAATGACACCGCTGAAGAAGAGCGAACGCAGGCAGGGTTACTACAGAGACGTCTTCTCCTCTCCACATAGCTATATCTGTCCCCACCTTCCCACAAGCTTGCAGTCTCCTTTGTCCCTGTACAGCCTTTAGAAATCAATACATTCTGCTCTTCTTATATGCCCAGTATACTTTTTCAGAAACCATGCATCGGTTTAGCAGCTCGGCAGATGCTGAGATTGCACTTCCCCGCTATCCCGTGTCAAACCTTGAGCCCACCTTTCTTCGCGAAAGCAGGGGCTGCGCGCTCAGCCGCTAGGAGAGCGTTTCTTTTCAAAGAAGCAGAGCCAAATAAGAGCGCCTTTGGCGACTGTAAAGGCGCTCCCCGAAGGGGAGCACTCGGAACGAAATCACTTCCATAGGTCGTACAAGACCCCGATGCCTGCACCAAAACCATGATTCAGTGTGGCGTGCCCCCAGCCGTCTGGAAGCAGAACCAGATCTCCGGCATACTGAGTACACCTGAGCTGGCTCGTCAAGATAATAAGGTTGTAGAAACACAGACGCTGGCAGAAATACGCGTAGACAGGCTCAAAAAAAACATGGAAGTACATATACGTGCGTGCACAGGTGTATGTATGTGTGTGTGTATATATATATATGTGTGTATATAAACA